GAGACCATTTCTGTGGAAGAGGAACTGCAGTAGGATGATAATTTGTAGGCATTTTCGGGATGTGAGTATCGTTGAATTAAAGGGGGAGGGGGGCGAAACCAAACATACGTTCGACCCTCGCCACTTACATGTACGTCGATTTGCATCAGGCAAAGTGGCCTTTTTAGAGTACGTGAAATTATATAGAAATGTTAATTGTATTGTAAAGAATCGCAAAAGGCGTACATTACAAAATCTAGAAACGCGTAGAACTGATTTGTAAAAACAGTAAATAGAGAAGCCTGGTGACCAAACCTATAGGCTATACTGCCGACTCTCTTTCCAGCCTAGCGAATGGAGTCATTTTACCCATTGTTCGTAGTCGTAGAAGTAATAAATAATATGATATGAAATGTTTTAAGAGATTGGTGGTGTGAGTGAGTGATTGTAAGGTCTCACAAATTATGATTTTGTAACAACATAGAAGCAAACCTATTCAAATGAGAGAAAGACAAACACGTCAGAATTATGTTGGATTACGTTGTAATGCATTAGGTTAAAATTGTAAAGCTTGGTAAAGTTAGAATTTTTTAAAGCTTGTTTTCTATACATTCTATTTTATCATTGACAGCTTATAACGCTTAATCTGTATAATTTCTTAATTTTTTTCGTTAGGCTGAACATGGCAATGGCAGGACACGGGTCTCCCACCGGAGTTGGTCAGAACTGCTGTGATGGGTCTCCCACCGGAGTTGGTCAGAACCGCTGTGATGGGTCTCCCACCGGAGTTGGTCAGAACTGCTGTGATGGGTCTCCCACCGGGGTTTCCCAGGTCGACTGTGACAGCAAAACAAGCAATGTTCAAGGCCAGGTGGCAGCACAACAAGTCAGCTTGAATAACGCTGGTGATAAACCCTACATGTGTGGGGAGTGTGGATACAGGGCAACGCTGAAATCTACCTTATCCCAACATATGAGAAGACATACAGGAGAAAAACCCTACAAGTGTGACCAGTGTGACTATTCTGTTGCACAGATATGTAATTTAGACAGACATCTATTAAAACACTCTGGCGAGAAACCCTACAAATGTGACCAGTGTGACTATTCTGCAGCAGAGAAATCTCATTTAGACAAACATCTAGCAACACACACCGGTGAGAAACCCTACATGTGTGACCAGTGTGACTATTCTGCATCATGGAAATATGCTTTGGACAAACATCTAGCAACACACACCGGTGAGAAACCCTACATGTGTGAGGATTGTGGGTACAGGACAGCTGACAGGTTCCAACTTATCCAAACAT